TGCTGGCTTCAATTTTATCTTCAGCGACTGATTCACCGTCACCTTCGGCTCCAGTGTCCATTGCTTCTTCCGTCTCAACTTCGGTTTCAATGCGGCGTCGTGATGACTGCCATTCCTTGTCCAGTTTCTTGAATCTTCCAAGAGCGTTGACTACACCGGTTGTCTTGGTCTTTATCTCCTTGTGGATATTGGCCTTTGTTTGGACAAACTCTTGTAGCTCAATGGTGAGCTTTTCAAGGCGCTCCAGCGCTTGCGTTCTCTTCACTTCAGCACTTGCTTCAATCGCTGCTTGTTGGGCATGTAGCCCGTTTCCACTTTTGTTTGTTTCCTTTGAATTACTCATACTTTTTTGATTTACCAGCGCATCGTACGGAGTGGAGCGGGTTGCCATAACTAGGAACGGGTGTACCCTCGGAGATAATACTCCTACCCCAGTTCCCTGAGGCCTAGCCGACACTTAGCCAGTCCCGGAATACACGGACGGACTAGACTCGCTCGGGGCGGTGAAGATTCCGATCTCTGACACTCACTGCGTACTTCCTGATCAAGGCCCGAAGTGACTGGCTCCTGATCCACTACTGCAACTTACACCTCGGCAGAGCAAGCTCACATCAGCCGTGGCCTGCATCGTCGGAAACTACGATACAGGTTCCGGACACTCCCAGTGAGTTACAGCAGGGACCGATCGTCTTGTTAGGTCAGTTAGTGTGACCAACCCATTAAAGGGGAGTTTTGTCCACGGGAGCGTATTTTGTTTGGTTATTTTGCTTGACTCCTACCCGCTGTACCCCATCAACTAAGAGATTATCCAAATGTCATCCAAGGACAGCGAGCGTTCTCCCATCCGCTCGGGGAGACGCGCCTGGTAGCAGTATCTCTTCTGCCCCGAGTGTGTGTGTGTGTGTGTGTGTGTGTGTGTGTGTGTGTGTGTGTGTGTGTGTGTGTGTGTATGTGACCCTCTTATAACCTTTGAACGGCTTGACTGATTTCATCGCGGTTGACGCCATTCGAAAGGGCTTGACTAAACTTAGATTTCAAATACCAGTTCGACCAATTCGAACCAAAAGTTTTTGAGAAATCTCAAAAAAACTACAAAAAAAAATTTTTTGAAATGTGGTTTTTTTGGAATTTCGTTTAAATGGCTTCACCGATCAATTCCAAAATCCTATCAGCTCTTGAGATCAAAAAACCACGTCGATCACAGCAAGCTCGGTCAAAATCGGTTGATTCGTTCGCGAGTTGTCGTTGTCGAAAGAAAACCGAAAAAAGTATTTTTTCAGAATTACTTCGAAATTCCTGGCTCGATCGATTTAAACTTGAAAATTCTTTATGAGGCTTCAAAAACTACGTCGAATGCCGCCAACCGCGTGAAAATCGGTTCATTCATTCAAAAGTTATTGCCGTTTGAAAATTCAAAAAATTGTGTTTTATTAAACTGCTATTAGAGTTTCGAACTCGAAGAGCTCAAAATGACACAAAAATCAAATTTTTGAGCTTGAAGAGTTCAAAAATGTAATGTGTAGTTTTGAGCGCTTAAGTATATTTAAATACACATTTAAAAATGCAAATGGACATGAATACACACACCACTTAGTCCAAGTTACCAACACAAGTGTAACAACTGAACTGATGAAAATAAATAGCCTACTGTTCCAAAAAGTCAGATGGAAAAATCTAAGGAAGATAATAATACTCCAATGTAGGAACTGTCAAAAACTTGGCCACTCAAAAGCCAACTGTCACTTACCACCAAAGTGCGTTAAGTATGGTGAGACACATGACAAAGATGAATTCAAAACTAAAGCTGCCGATGAAAAAACAGCTCTGAAATGCGCAAACTGTGGGGAAAATGGCCATCTGGCTAACTATAAAGGATGCAAATATTACAAAAATGCTCTTAAAATTATAAAAGAGCAAAAAAATGAAAAAAGGAAAGACCAGTACTCCAAAATCAACAGAACAGACAGATATACTGATCCAAACTTGCTCTACACAGCAGCCTTAAACCAAATGCGAACTCAAGGCCAGCAAATAAATCCATCAATAATAAATCAACCATTTCAGAATGTAAACTACACACACACACACACCAAGACAAAATGAAACAACTGATGCCTCCCAATGGGCCAGGGAGCTATTGGGACAAATAACGACATTTACCCAAAGACTAGTTTCTCTAAAAAACCTAATTAGCCAAAATAGCAACAGAATTAATTATTTATATGAAATAAATAACTTCGACATCCAGGAAAAATGACTCATAACCAACTGACTCAACCAGACACAAGTTCAACTAATAATGAACCTCGACAAATATTAAAGATAGCAGCTATAAATGTCAATTCAATTATAAAACATCAAAGAAGATTCGATCTAACTAAATTAATAACCGAAAACAACCTTGATATAACTCTAGTAACCGAGACTAAACTCAATCCGAAACATAAACTTAGCATAGATGGACACAAAATCATTCGCACAGACAGACCTGGACCAAATCAAGGAGGAGGAGTAACAGCAATAGTCATAAAAAATAATATAGAATTTACAACAATCACACATCCTAACTCAAATAATAATAGAATGATTGAATTCACACTAATTAAAATCAAACTGAGTAATTAAAAACAACTAATAGTTGGCGGTCTATATGCAACAACAAAAATAGAAGCAAAACAAATATTTTTAGACGAAATAAACGCACTATTTACAAATTTAAATTTGAGCAATAATAACATATTTTACATCATAGCAGGAGACTTCAACGCAAGGCATAAAGAATTAGGAGACAGAACTACCAAAACAAGAGGTAGATGGTTAGTCAACTGGGAAACAGAAAACACTGTTAACTTCAGAACCAGCATTCACATACCGCATGAACCGACTTTTACTTCAACAAACTCTCTACTGGACATCTGCATCGCTGATGCCAGACTAAAATTTACAAATTTAAAAAACAATAAACTTGACACACGCACCTATGACAGGGATCATAAAGCAATTATAATGGAAATAGACCTACAAGGCAGTACTCTGAAAAACACACCAGAAGACAACACAATTATATTACGATACAAAAAAACTAACTGGAAAAAATTTACTAAGCTTCTCAATGACAATTATGATCTAAATATTCCAAATAACAAAAACCTATCAATTAATGAAATGGACACATATATACAAACCATGAATGAACACATAACGAACACAATAGCAGAAATAGTTCCTAAAAAACCTAGAAACAATAACTTCAACATTTACTATATTAATAACAAAATTGAAAGGCTGCACAAACAAAAATCACGTTTATTAACACAATTACACAAAACACAGAAAAATGACACCGGTAACCGACAGCTAATTAGCAAAATCAAGCATCAAATAGAACACACAAGAGACAAAATCCAAACAGAAATAAAAACAAATATCGAGAACCACTGGAATAAAATTATCAAAAAAATAGATCACAGAGATCCTAATAAATTTTTTCCAATAATCAATAAAATATTTAGACCACACGATCGTGCAAAAATGTCAAACCTAACTGTCAAGGCAGAAGAAGCTCACCTACTCGACCGATGTGAAATAAATAAAGAAAACTTAAACAAAATAGGAAGTAACCTCTGTAACGATGTTCGCCATCGTTCAGGCTCGGGTAGCCTCGAGCGTAGTCGGATAGAACAGCAGCATGGCCGCTGAAGCTATATAAGCTCGAGTAACCATGCTGTTGTAGCTTATTCTAATTCGTTTAGCTCGTTTAGATTATTATTCTAAATTTTAGGCCTCTTGCCGCCTGTACCTGCCAGAAGCCTATTGTGCTTTTGCTCATATTTACCAGAGTTTGCCTTTGTAATTATCAATTATTAGTCTTTTGTACTATTGCACTCTCGTTGCTAATTGAATTACGAGTATTTTTAACTCCTTTTGAAGGGATAACCGGTAAATTGAGCAGGCAGAGGGTGTTTTAGTTATTTTGTAATAAATAACACCGTTTTGATTATTTTGTGATAAATAATCTGTTTTGGTTATTTTGTAATAAATAATCCTAGTTTTACTTAACTGATAATCTGAACAGTCTGAGTAAAACTATATCAGTTAATTTAGTTTAGAATAAATTATACTGATTTACTACGTGTTGAGGAGTGAATGTTTGCTAAGTTGAGCAACAAGTGGTGATATAATATTCATTGTTTAATTTGAATAAATCAGTTATTAAACGAAGATCAAGTTAATTACATTATTCTTCGACCACATCATCCGATTCTAGGCTAAGGTTGAGGTTGATTTTATCACGACGTGTAGCAGAGCCATATCCCAGTACAATCCAGGAAGTTGACCATCATCTCGAACTTCAACTAAGTCAAATATCAATTATTGGTGTTGGTAATTTAGCTATTTGTAAGGCATTAGTTCGAGGTATTTATAATTAGATCCATTTATTACCCGAGTCTCGCCAGCCGGCAGAACTCACACGTGAAACGAACCCTGCAGGGTAATCTAATTAAGTATCTATTGTCCAGTTTAATTATTAATTAAGTAAATTAATTATCAATCAATTTAATTAAACTGATTCTAAAACCCCACATCGTTGCACTTCGTAATCGAAGAAAATTCGGACAAAATCAATTTAATTGGAGCATATTACGAGACAATCAACTCCCCTCGATATCTCAACAACAATACAGAACTAAAAAATACAATTGACCAAAAAGTAACGGAGTTCATAAATAAAGTAAACGAAGACAAAGCCAACAATGTAACCATTACAGAATTTACAGATGATAATATGGCATATGCACCAAACGATCAGGTTAACAACTTTTTCTGCACTCCGGCAAAAATAAATAAGATTCTCAAGAAACTACATAATAAAACCTCGACTGGTATTGACGAAATTCCATCAATAGTTTTAAAACATCTCCCAGCAACAATGATCAAAGACTATTCTACTCTTTTTAATAACTCTCTGAACCACAGATATTTCCCAGAAGCCTGGAAAACATAAAAAATTGTTCCAATTCTAAAAAAAGGTAAACCTGACAATTTAACGAGTTACAGGCCAATTAGCCTAACTCCAAATATCAGTAAAGTATATGAAGCTGTAACTAATGACTCCATCTTGGCACATAGCAATGAACACAAAATTATTCCAGATAATCAATTTGGGTTTAAGTTTCAGCACTCTACAATACATGCAATTAACAAACTGCTGTCAGACGTCACATCACACCTAGATGAAAATCTAATAGGAGCGACACTAATTGACCTGGAGAAGGCATTCGATACGGTATGGCTATATGGGCTATTATATATTTTAATCAAAAATAACTTTCCAGAACATCTTACCAGTACGATATGGAGCATGATCGGCAATAGATCTTTTCATACGTGGGACGGAAAAATAAAATCGTCAAAATTATTTAACATTCAAGAAGGACTACAGCAGGGAACCGTGAACTCACCCACGCTGTTCAACATTTTTACAAGCCACATCCTGAATGCGTGCAAATTAAACCACAACAACAACACCTATTCAATCGCATATGCAGATGACCTCATCATCTATGTCGCGGCAAAATATCCGAAAGAGCTAAAGGAACGACTAGAAACAATAGTTAACAAAATCAATAACCTATACGCGAGATGGAACCTACGCGTCGGCCCAGGGAAATGCGAAACCATCGTTTTCAGGAAACCTGCCATGTTTGTAACAAAATCCAAAAGAATAAATAATGATAGATTTATTATAGAAACATTTCATCCAGAAACTCGTGAAAACATCAAAGTTCCCACTGTCAACTCCGTTAAATACCTAGGCATGGACATCGACTATTTAGCAAAGTGCAATACTCATCTCCCTGGTTAAAAATATTGATTGAAAAGGATTAAAAATGATGAAATTTGAATACTTTTGAATACTTTCAATTCTTTTTCATGTATATATAGATATACAGTTTACATAGGGTGACTGATTCCCACAACTTTTCAATCAATATTTTTAATCAGGGCTAGACTCGCAACTCAAAAAAGCACGTAATTCATACAGATCTCTTGGCAGGCTTTTTCACAATAAATTCATCACACCACGAGCAAAGATAATCTGTTATCAACTACTTGTACGTCCACTACTAACATACGCAGCTCCTGTATGCTGGAACATTGGCGCAGCACACATGGAGAAGTTAAGAATGTTTGAAAGATCCTGCCTAAGAACTGCTTTAGTAGATAAGCAAGGCCGGTTTGACCCCCTGATAAAGTAGATTTCTGCAATACGACCTTGGGTTTCTGCCTTATCGATGGTCGTTGGTGGAGTTTCTGCGATACCGATGGTTGGTTTTTTGTGCTCTACTTACCGGCTGTTGTTGGGAATTATCATCGATTTGTTGGTCGATTTTTTTACCGACTGTTGAGGGATTATCATCGATTTGGTGATCGATATTTACCGACTGTTGGGGTGATTATCATCGATTTGGTGATCGATATTTACCGACTGTTGGGGATGATTATCATCGATTTGGTGATTGATATTTACCGACTGTTGGGGGATTGTCATCGATTTGTTGGTCGATTGTTTGAGGTCAAAATGCTACCACCCCAACAGCAGAGCTGATACCTTTACCGTGTATCAGCTTTGGTGTTGATGTGATATGCACTTATTTGATGTGATGATGAATTTTGTATATATTCAAATGACTTGTAGTATAAGTATATGCGAGAAAGATCGATACTTACGCCGCTCTGGTGGGATGAAATGTAGGTATTGAAGTCTGTTTATCGATTTGAGGTAAGTTTTATCGATAGTCTGATGTCAACTAGTGATCTATTTTATCGACTGCGAGTATCAACAGTCGGTATTATACCGAGTGATGTTCTGTTTTGTCGATGCGAATGTAAAAGTTTTTTGAATTTTAACGTCTTTAGCCCCCTACTCTCTCGATTACATCATGTTTTTACGCCATCCGACAAGTTTAAACCTGTTTTTGGCGTCGTCGTTGGGAGGGGATCGTTGGTGGGGACTTATACTTACTTGCCTCCAAATTTCAGTCCTCTGCTTGCAATCATTTGAATCAGTTGTGTTATCCATGGATAAATTGACTGATATCGAACGCGCATTTCTCAGAAGTCAACCACCTTACTGGGATGATTTTGACGATTTAATAGAAAGTTATTTTGGTGATATTTCACCTGAGTTTATCGGGATATTTGTGAGGAAAATTATTGATTTGCATAAAAATTTAGAGGTGATTAAAGCTGCTCGCGAAAAAGTGAACTGTTCGAATTGTGCTGATAGACTTGAAATAACCAAGAAACTAATAGAAATAACTGACAACTTAGTTAAAACTGCGCATACAAAAGTATCTTGTTCTCATTGTGTGGATAAACTACATCTAATTGACGACTTACTTAAAACTGCGTATACAAAAGTATCTTGTTTAAACTGTGTGGATAATCATAATTTGAACCAAAAACTGTTAGAAATTACACAGAAGTTTCAAAAACTGGAATTACGTTTCATTCAACAGTAACTCTACAATGAACCGTAAACGATTGAGGTAATTTTTTTTTAAAATCATTAATTATATTAAAAATTTACGTATTTTGTTTCTAAGAATTCAAATTTATTTCAGACTTCACTCATGTGACGATTCATGTGATCATTCTGCGCAAATCGAGTTCGACGAAGTAAGTGCTTCATCCAGTGATAGTGAAACTTCAAGTGAAGCTTCTATCGAAGCTCCGAGTGAAGCTTCTAGTGAAGCATCTAGAGAATCTTTTTGTGACTTTGAAATTTCCACGGAAAGCGTTGTTTGTATAGTGGAAGAATGTTTTTTCGGTGATAGGAAAGTTAAAGTAACATCTTATCATTTTAAAAACTTTTTAGTAACGAGTTATAAATATTCCGAAGACGATCCGGATAGTCCACCAATTGAGGCTAAAGTTATAATTCTTTAATTGACCAATTAAAAAAAGTGAAATATGGAATACTTAATTGATTTTACCGGTTATATTATGCCAAACGGTTCATTTACGGTCAAGGAATTTTGTATCACCGAGATTACTGATGAATATCAATTCAATGGTGTTTATGAGTGTGACTATTATTTATTTAAGCCTCCAATGACGATTACTGGTGCATCTGTTATTAAGCAAAATCTCGACTATAATGGACGTCGTCATGGAATTAGCTGGGATGTCGGTAAAACTGCGTATAATGTGCTTGGGGAAATTTTAAAAAATTTAACATGCTATTGGTGCTATTTATTGTAACGGAGTACACGGGGCCTTCTTTACCCAGAGGAGGTTTCCGATCCGTGAGTTAGTTATCGACTGATTCCCCAGAGCGCTGTGCTCCGAAGTACTCGCGCCTCTAGTTGTAAGTTAGTGAGTAAGTCCCCAAGAGGGAAGCGCCGGCGCGGAGAGTGAGTGGGGAAGACGGAGCGAAGAAAGAAACGCACCGACAAAGCTGAGAAAAGTCATTGTGACCGAGTCGCCAAACCGCGTGGACACACAAATTAAGTAAAAACACCATCAAACAGGTAATTATTTATTTGTCGCCTTTCGTACAGTGGAACGAAGCGATCAAACTTATTCATTTATTGCTTGCCAGGCCTTTAGTCGGCTTGCGTAAATTAATCTTAAATTCTAACAATTTCTAATGCTTGATTGCGGTTTCAGACTCATAAAATATTTGGAGAAACGAGTGACGGTGACCGAGGTCTCGCGGCCAAGCAGAGTTTTTCCACTGAGGAGGAATTTGTACCAGAACAGACGTGAAGGAGTTGCTGCTCTTCGAGGGAGCTCGCCAGCGCCTCAAAGAGAAAAGCCCCAGGTATAAATAAAATGTCTCAATAATCCCTCGGTGGTACGGCATCAGCCAGGCATTGAAGTCGGCTAAAGGTCACCGCCACTTCGCGTTCGGTCACAATCATTAGTTTAAGTATTGTATCGTAGAATTTACTTAATTATTATGTGGAAATTTATTTATTAGAATTTACTCGGTATATTATTTGGGATACTATTTAAAATATTATTTAGAAAATGTTTGAGAATTTATTGGAAATAAGAGGCAGAGTTTATTTAAGAATTTATTTGAGAGAAAAGTCCAGAATAAAAATTAGACTAAAATTAAAAGCAAGTCAAGAATAATTATTAAATAATTAATTAACAAAACCAGGAATAATTTCGGTTGGTCAATTTATAACTTTGGTGCCATGTAAAACAAATTGTCGTTGATAATCGAGCTTGGTCGGATTTATTTAACTAATTGCTTAAAGTAAATTCATTGAAATATTTAGAGGAAATTTAGTAAAATCATTTGAAGTAAAATTTATTAAATTCGGAAAAATAATTTATAACAAAAATTTAATTGTGTAAATAAAATCATTTACAATAAAGTTAGAATCAGTCAAAATTGCAAGAAAATTGTTCATGTAAATTTATTAATTGAAAGTAGAAAACGAAACTTGTAAAAATCTGTTTGGAAAAAAAATTACCAAAAATGTGCGACAAAGACGCCAGACCGAGCGAGAGCGTCAGCCATCTTGTCCCGCGCGAAGCGCTGAGTAGAGGACATTCAAAGTCGAGACTAAAATCGTACTGTGTTGCTAGGCAGAATATAATCCTCAAACAAAATAAAATAAATGCTAAGTTTTTCATGCAACACAATAGAACGTAAAATAAAATAACGTAGAGAAAATAAAACTCGATTATTGAAGGACAAGCCAAACAGTTTAGTAAAAATAAATTACATGAAATGAATTGATAAAATTTTAGTCATTGAAAGTTAAAATCTTAATTAAATAAATTAAAATAATCTGGAGAAATAAACTGATAAATTCTGGTAGAATAAATTAGACGAATTAAAATAATTTAACACAACAACTTATAAATTAAATTAAGTAAATTCAGTACATTAAAATTGTAACTCTCGGAAGTAACCAACACATTGTTGGCAGATTATTAAGACCTCTGTCAATAGATTTTAACCTATTAATACAAGATACGAAGACCTCTTGATATTAAATATTTAATTGTTGTATTATTAAGACCACGACATTAAATTAGTTAGTGATTTTAATTTAAAATTAAGATTAGGAATTTTAGAAATAAATTAGGAACTCGGGTTTTGTAAATTGTTGAAGGGATAAATGGATCCAGGCATCGAGTCGGATTTCATTTGATTTTGGAAAATAAATTTGTAAAATCCGGAGTGATAATTAGTGGGTTTGGAAATAATAATGTGGGTGGGTTTGATATTAAGTATTGTAGTGTTGCCTAGGGATTCATGGTATCCTCCTCTGCTTCCTGGGCACACTTAGAGTCCTTTGAATAGACGCCCGGGTCGGGGGTGCAATAGGCATAAGCATTTTAAATAAATATTGTGAGTTTGTTTGGAAAATGGTAAATAATATTGCAGTGTAGCCTAGGGATTCATAGTATCCTCCTCTGCTTCCTGGGCACACTTAGAGTCCTTTGAATAGACGCCCGGGTCGGGGGTGCAATAGGCATAAGCATTTTAAATAAATATTGTGAGTTTGTTTGGAAAATGGTAAATAATATTGCAGTGTAGCCTAGGGATTCATAGTATCCTCCTCTGCTTCCTGGGCACACTTAGAGTCCTTTGAATAGACGCCCGGGTCGGGGGTGCAATAGGCATAAGCATTTTAAATAAATATTGTGAGTTTGTTTGGAAAATGGTAAATAATATTGCAGTGTAGCCTAGGGATTCATAGTATCCTCCTCTGCTTCCTGGGCACACTTAGAGTCCTTTGCATAGACGCCCGGGTCGGGGGTGCAATAGGCATAAGCATTTTAAATAAATATTGTGAGTTTGTTTGGAAAATGGTAAATAATATTGCAGTGTAGCCTAGGGATTCATAGTATCCTCCTCTGCTTCCTGGGCACGCTTAGAAGCCGTTGTATAGACGCCGGATTTGGGGTACAACGGTAGTAAGCTAGAAACCGCGATAATGACGTAAAAAACATGATGTAATCGAGAGAAAGAGGTTAAAAAACGTTAAAATTCAGAAAAAAACTCTTACCCCACGTCGATAAAACAGAACATCTATTCGGTATCAAACCGACTGTCGATAACATAGACCACAAATTGACATCAAACTTACCTCAAATCGATCAATAAACTTCAATACCTCCATTTAATCCCACCAGAGCGGCGTAAGTATCGATGTAATCGAGAGAAGAGGGGGTAAACAACGTTAAAATTCACGATGACGACGCTAAAAAACAGGTTTAAACTTGTCGGATGACGTAAAAACATGATGTAATCGAGAGAGTAGGGGGCTAAAAACGTTAATATTCAAAAAACTCTTACCCCCGCATCGATAAAACAGAACATCACTCGGTATAATACCGACTGTTGATACTCGCAGTCGATAACATAGATCACTATTTGACATCAGACTGTCGATAAAACTTACCACAAATCGATAAACAGACTTCAATACCTACATTTCATCCCACCAGAGCGGCGTAAGTATCGATCTTTCTCGCATATACTTATACTACGAGTCATTTGAATATATACAAAATTCATCGTCACATCAAATAAGTGCATATCACATCAACACCAAAGCTGATACACGGTAAAGGTATCAGCTTTGCTGTTGGGGTGGTAGCATTTTGACCTCAAACAATCGACCAACAAATCGATGACAATCCCCCAACAGTCGGTATATATCAATCACCAAATCAATGATAATCACCCCCAACAGTCAGTAAATATCGATCACCAAATCGATGATAATCACCCCAACAGTCAGTAAATATCGATCACTAAATCGATGATAATCCCCCAACAGTCGGTAAAAAAATCGACCAACAAATCGATGATAATCCCCAACAACAGTCGGTAAGTAGAGCACAAAAAACCAACCATCGATATCGCAGAAACTCCACCAACGACCGTCGATAAGGCAGAAACCCAAGGTCGTATCGCAGAAATCTACTTTATCGGGGGGTCAAACCGGCCTTGCTTATCTACTTGCTTTAAATCTACACCGAAAAGCTGAGACCGAGTATAGAGAAAGAGTAAGTAACAAAGAGCTGTACAACGCGGCGAAAATTCCTAGAATCGACAACCACAGAATAAAACTCACCAGAGACTACTACAGCAAGTTGAACATCATCAACAACGAGTTAATCAAAAAGCTCAAATATGTCAATGGTGATATTCTTACCAACGCCCAAAAAGGTCTGCTACAACCACAAGCATTTACAACTCTGGATAAGCTTGGAATAATTCAAGACAGTATGAACATACCCATTCTGTACCACAAGAGCAGACACAAAAGCAACAAGGTGCTCGATTTAAGGAATTTCAAAAATAAGCCTAAATAAATACTCAACAGCACTGCCCAGAAATGACCAAACTGACTTTTACAGAGTAGATGCAGATAAATACTGGTGGACTGACAAGAACTCCACCACATATAAAGAACTCCAAAGAAAAAAAGTGACACTAAATATATAAATAATTCAGTAAACATTTAAAACTATTACTCTATAGATTTTAATTAACTAAATAATCCACAGATATAATATTATAACTCACTTTATAATAGTGCTCTTGCACCTGTAAATATGTAAATATGTATATAAATCTAGTCTTAAGTTAGTCATAAGCTAAAAAATTTTATGATTTAAGCTCGGGTTTTTATTTTTATATAAAATTTTTTTTCCCACACAGTTCATCAAAAAGCGACTGATAGATCAACAAAAACTTTAGATCTTATTAATAAACAAAGACCAAAATATCTGTTTAACCGCTAGAAAAAAGATCTAGTCAAATACTTATAAGAAGAATTACGCCTTCGGGCTTAATCGTTAAAACTCGGGAATAATCGTATAAACTCGGGAATAATCGTATCACGCTATGGCCGTCGCTCATGCGCGCCTTGATTAGCGGTAGAGAAGCCCGCTCGCGTGGTCTGCTGCAACAGTTGTGTTTGGACTCTGGTACTAGTACGACTACTCTGTGTCAATCGATTCTAATATCTTTTACTTGCATCTCACATTTATTCAGATACTTAAATTATTCATTAAATATAAATAATTACTTCAACTTAATAACAATTACATTCTCAAATCATTCAAATCAGTTTAATAGTTCAGTGAATTAAAATAACTAAAATCAAAGTAGATTTAATTAGTGACGCCACGCGGCCATTACGCGCCATATTCACAAAGGATTGCATCAGCCACGCGGCTTTAGTCAATCTCTAATTAACACGCGATATTAATATTGAATTCATTACCAATATTTAATTACTATTTTTACTTAATCATAAATATTAACATTTCCATTCTGAAATTAAATTCATTTGACTAATTCGTATATGAAAAACTAAATTCAATTAACTAACGATCTGTTATTAATTGAATATTAGTTGCTCTCACCTTGGGACAATTTGTCTAACTAATTGAACATTAGTAGCGCTCACCTTGAGACGATTTATTTAAATAATTGAACATTAGTAGCGCTCACCTTGAGACAATTCATCTAATTAATTGAACATTATTAGCTCTCGCCTTGAGACAGTTCATCTAATTAATTAGATATTACTAGCTCCCACCTTGGGACTATACAAATTTAAATTATCGATAATTTTCTTTATACGGCGGCTGAGCTCACCCCTATTGCGTTATTGCAACGTAATTTACACACACACACACTTACACACATACAATTTACTTGTATAAATTTTAAACAAGGAGGTTTTTTCTAGTCTAGCTGGGTTTTCCTCCTTTGGGGACAAATAAACCATCTAAATTGTTTCCCAAAAAATCCAAGCATTTTTATTTAACTTCCTAATCCCAACTTCATCATATTTTTAAAACAATTACGAGAAATATCCGCATTGGATAGTTTTCGACAAAACATTTGGTGCCTCCTGTGAGGTGTGAAGTTCACACGAACCCTGCTTTGCGAAGACGAGCAAGACGTGCCGAGGATCCATCCACTATACCACCCAGCTGCTGCCAGCATCGTTGGACTTCAATACAAATAAGATAAGTTTTTAACATCAAATCATTTATAATTCAAACATTTGATAATCTACCTAACTTACTTATTTGTAATTTTAATTAATTGTTTAACTTTGGCTGACTGTTCGATTGTCACCTGACAATTAGTTCATCAATCGAATAGTGCAATTGATTATCATTCAAATATCATTTACGCTACTATTCTAATTATTTACGTATAATTTAATTTAATTAATTAGTCGACAGTTTACAATTAATTAATCATTATCCGGTGATTAATTATTGTTCAACAGAATAATTAATTATTAATTAATTCTCTATCTTCATTATCGACTCTCAAACTATTTATTATTTAATTATAATTAATTATTTAAATTATTTCTCAAATCATTTGATTACCACAAGTGATCTATTTATTGCAGAAATAGGATAATTAATTATCAATTGATATTTATCATTATTATTATTGCTATTATTATCATATAAATCTATCTATATTAATATATTGACAGTACTTTTATCTCGGATAAAATTTTATCCCGGATTGAAAAACTGGCCCTTAATTTATATAACTTTTATCTGTAGTCGATAATGCAGGAATTGTTGTTAATTTTAATTTCCAATCATTATATTAGGGTGGCGCAAAAAAACCAACTATTTTTTTTTTGTCTCGAGTTAAAAAATGTTAGATTTTTATGTTTTAAGAGCCCTCACCAAAGGACAGCTGAAAAAAAAATTTTTAAGAGGTCACTCCAAATTTTTCAAAATTTCAAAAATCGTTAAAAATCGAATTTTTTTTTTTTAATTTTTTTTCTCGTTACGGTATAATTTTATAGACTAAAAAAAAATAATTTTCTGAAAATTTCAGTTCAAAATTTGAATTTTGAAAGGTCGCTCATAATTTTTTTCAATTTATTAGTGCATTAGTTTCGAGCGACCTTTTGCTATTCAAATTAAAATTCCATGCATTTTTTTTTTTATTTAGTACAATCTATATATATATAAGAGATTTCCACCTATATATTGACTCATCACGATATCTCAGGATCGATAAGGCGTAGAGACTTGAAATTTAGTAGGAATATTCCTTTCGCCGAGTAGAGGTCAGCTAAGAACGGATTTTACGAAATTCCACCCACAAGGGGGTTTGCGGGGGCGTTGACAATGAAAAATTCCCATTTTTAAACTATAGCTCCTATCGACTCCAAATTTAGTAGGAATCTCCTATATGTGATGTAGAAATGATCTACGAGCGGATTTTATGACAATCTACTCCCAATATGGATTACGGGGGGTGGGCGTTAACAATGAAAATTAAAAATTTCCAAGCTATAGCTCCTACAGACTCTTAATTTTGTATGAATTTTTTGTTAGTGATGTAAAAATATAATTAATGATCGAATTTTACGATATCCTACCCCACAGGGATATAAATTCTTGAAACAAGAAAATTTTCTTAGACCAAGAATAATTTCTTAGCTCAAGAATTTCTTCTCTTGACTCAAGAAAATCATTTTCTTCAAAATGGTATTCTTGGTTCAAGAGTTTGGTTCTTGAATCAAGTCAATTTTTTTATCAGTGTATAGTCACTCATCACGATATCTCTGGAACTATAAGACCTAGCGACTTGAAATTTGGTAGGAATATTCTTTTTGCTGAGTAGAGGTCAGCTAAGAACGGGGTTGCGGGAGCGTTAACAATGAAAAATTCCCGTTTCTAAACTACAGCTCCTATCGACTCCACATTTAGTAGGAATCTTCTGTAAGAGATGTAGAAATAATCTATAAACAAATATTACGATATCTCACCCCAGAGAGGGGTGCGGGCGTGGGTATTAACAATGAAAATTTTTAATTTTCAAGCTTTAGCTCCTACAAACTCCAATTGGGTACGAATTTTCTCTAAGAGATGTAGAAATAATATACGAACGAATTTTAAGATACCTCACAGGAGTTTGCGGGGATGGGTGTTAACAATTATAATTTTTAATTTCCAAGCTATAGCTCTGTAACGGGGTGGTTAACCCTGTTCAATTGGTCACCCCTTTCCTTTTGAAAAGGGCGCCACTGGGATTATTATTCGCGGTGTCCCAGAAACCGGAAGAGCACGAGCAGGAAATCGGGTCGTGAGAAGTTGAGGCAAGGCTATAAATAAATACTGAGGACAATTTTATTCAGTTAATAAAATTTATTAAACAATAAAAATAAACCTTAATAATTAACAAAATAACTAAACTGTTTCACAGTTAAAATCTTAATACAAAATTTCGAGAAAACGCTCACTCAATCAGGCACTTGCCAACAAAAATTCTTATAAACTAAATATCATTTAATTCTTTTAAACATAGATCATTACGCATCTATCTTCTTAATTTCTTAACTCAATTTCAGACCATTACGCATCTATCTTAAATTCCTAATTCAACCGTAGACCATTACGCATCTATCTTAAATTCCAAATTCAATCATAGACCATTACGCATCTAGATTCTTAACTTCTTAAGCCCTCGTCCATCTGACGGGATGACTAACAACATAATTTTTCAAATTCCAAAACTCCTTAATTATTCATTTCTCTAAATCACTAATTACTAAATTTCCGATTTTCAATCTTGTCATAATTCACAAATCTTCAGAAAAACTCTTTACATATCATTCGGTTGCACTAAATTTAATCCCTCATAAATTTCTTACTAACTAAACTCATTTCTTAAATCTTCTTAAATAACCTCTTAAACAATTATTCGTAATTAAAATTCATTTTCCATATTAACTAAATTTACTAAATTCACCGAATCTTCTTATCAAATTTCTCTAATAAATCATCCTTAAATTCAATTAATTTCTCAATAAATTCATTTAGCATTTTTCCTAAATTAACAATTCAATCAAATTTAGCCACCAGCCTAAATTTACTTTCCAAAACTTACAATACTATTTTAATCTATTAAATTCAATACCAGCATTTGTCTAATTGCAAATAATTCTTCTTATATTAATTAATCACGAAAATTACTATATTAATTAAATTTCCTGCTAAAATTCCCAATTAATAAATTTCACATAACTTGAGAAATTACTTAAATTTTCCATCTCCACTCAATAATCTTTATCAAAAATTACTAATTAATTCTTCTTAATAAAATAAATTATTCACTGGCTAACTAAAATTTAATTAAATTAACCGACCGACCTAAATTAAATTTCTCTTAAAATTTATAACCATCAATGTTATAATCCTAAGCGTCTCAATACAAATTTTAACTGCAGACATTCTAGAATGACCTTCACTGCCTTAATTACGCATTTTCATTTCTTATTCAAATTACTTTTCTTTATACCTCAAAAATT